TGTTGGCCACGTGCAAGGCAAACGCCCTACCACTGTGCTATAAGCAAAATAAAACTTGTTCTTAAAACCTACCTAGCTAGCTAGAAACTTTTAAAAACACCTATGTGTGCTTAAAGAATAAAGCTAAAGGAAAAATTATAAAAGGAAATTATAAAATGAAAAATATGAAAAATATTAACACAATTCCTGTTGAGTATATGGGCTACCACTAAGTTGTGCTTAAAGGAAGATTTCTAGTATTTAAAAAATGTTGGTTAGAAAACAAGGAAGTAAATAAACACATAAGTCACTTTTCAACTCAGGAATTTGAAGAAAGATAGCAAAGATACCTGTAAGAATGAAAAGAGGAAATAATAATTAAGGTAAAGGTGCAGATTTAAAAAATAGAGAAAATACTGAGGATAAATAAAAGATCTAGTAAAATTATCAAAGATTTGTTTCATTTATTTTTTATAATAACACAAGTTATAGAGGCCTCTACAAAGAGTTATGAATAAATATCAATGAAGTTTAAATTTAAAGCATGAATTTTGTACATACTTAGCAGAGATTCAAGAGGGAAGGGTTAATTAAATTGTTATGGAACATTCATAAAATGCCCCATATTGCATCTTGTAAAAGATAAAAATAAATGTTTGAGAGATGACACTGGATAATGTTCAGTGTGTATGTTTAGGTAAAGAAAATAATGAGTCATGTATTTTATGGATATATTTATTTCCATTTAAGTGAAGACAGGACAAATGAATCAGTAAATAGTTTATTTTTAGCATACCAAGTATACCTGCGTGTCCCTCATTGTTCCCATGTGCTGAAATATCTACACTGAAGGTTGTTCCCATGTGCTGAAATATCTACGCTGAAGGGTCAAGGACATGTAAACTGTAACTTATGGTAGATGTCATTAGAAAAGAAAGGTTTTTTAAATTGCACTTAAGAAAATGAAAGCCTTTTCATTGAAGGAAGAATGAAATAAGTAACAGATTTCTATGTGTTGTCATATTAGGGCCCTGGTATGTGCAAGGTATTGACTCTTTCATTGTAGATTCTTTCACATTCCTTTTACTTTTGCTTTTTCCCCCTTTTATGGGGTGGGGGACACTGGGCAGAAATCAGGACTTAGTCCTGACTCTGTATGTTCAGGGATCAAACCTGTTGGGCTTGGGGGACCATAATGGGGACCATGGATCAACCAGAGTTGACCATACAAAGCAAACATTTTACCCACTGTATTGTTCCTCCAGTTGAGTGCATTGCACTGACTTTTCCAGCCTTACGTTGTGGTCCTTCATGCTGTGTTCCTTCTCATTCCCTGGAAAGCCTCCACAGAAAGGCTAACTTTGCAGGGTCCTTGGAGAAAATGTACTGACATCACCGAGCCATACTTTGGGGGCTAGTTTTCAGTTTCTTGTCACGGATTGATGTTTGTGCTCCTCCAAATTCATATTTATATGAAGGAGCCCATCACCCAATGGGATGGTATAAGAGGTGGGTCTTCGGGAGCTGATTTGGATTAGATTATGTCATGAAAGTGAGACTCCAGAAAGCCAGAAATCTACTTCCTCTCTCTGCCATATGAAGTTAGAAGGTGGCCAGCTAGAAACCAGAAAGAGCCTTTACCAAGAATTGAACCTTTCTGTGCATTCATTTTGGACTTCCATTCTCCAGAGAGTAACAGATGAGCTGTAATGTTACGTGAGCTCACATCGCTGATGTGTTTTTTATGGCAGTCCAAGTTGCCTAAAATGCTGAATAGTTTTGGTAGTATTTTTAAAAGATTGGGTGTGTGAATGTAATGTAGAAGATACTTATTCTCAACCAACAAAAACACTAACAAGGAAGGCTTAGCTTGCAGCAACAGCTTAGTAACCCTCAGACACAACAATCAGCAACAATGTCTCCTTGATGAGATGCAAAGAATTTTTCCAAATATTTTTAGTGAGGTATTTTATGATCATTCCATTATATACTTGGATGGTCTGGAAAATGGAGACAATGGTGGAGGGAAAGTGGTGGAATTGGTGTTGAAATATTGAATGCCTCTAACAATTCCTGAGCAATTTTGTAAGCCATGGTGTTTAAATAAAGTGAAAAAATAAAGCAAAAAATAAATAAATAAAAGCTTGAGAACCATTCATTGAAAAATTGAATCTTTTCTAAATTGGAAAGCTCCTTGATTTACCTGTGAGAACTTGAAGGCACAGCTGGTGACTCAGGTTGGAAGTCAGCGTCCGTCACTTTGTTAGAAAGAGCAGATGTGCCTGGTGATTAGGGACACAGGCAGAGGTGCTGCAATTACTGATTTTAATTAGATGCAAAAGCAATTATGTATTGCTGTGTAGTGGGAGAGGAGTGCTGCTGTAGAAACGCCTGGAATCAGGATTTGTCTTCCAGCAGCACCTGCCAGTCTTGGGTGAGAATTTGTGGAGGAAAAATAAAATAGTTTCAAAGTCATTCATTGAGTTGGGGTTGAGAGAGGGTGGATTAGTGGTCCACATTCAAGTTATTTTCAAACATCATCCAAATGCTTTGAAAATAAAAAGATTGAAATGAAACAGAATCTTTTCCTCCATCAGTTTGAAGTTCAGAAATATCAAGGCAGGGTAAACATTTGGGATTTGAAAAATAGTAATGAATTGAAATTAATCCCATTCCTTAATTAAAATACGGAATTTCTTCAAGGCTCACTACTGTAACACCCAGATAAAGTTTTCTTGCACAGAACAAAATCCCTTCAAGGTCTAGCCAACTACACTTAGTGTAGTCCTATAAATATGCAAGAGTCATTTGGGGGTTTCTTTGCCTTAACTAAAGGGTTTTTGACTTCAAAAGACTTGTAATGATTATTAAATAGACGTGATTGTTCTAGTTATTTAGGTAGGGGTATATGTGTGCTGATGTGGGTGCATGTATGCATGCATGTGCACATGCACATGTGTGTGCATGTGCGCAAAAGCACACATGCTCACACACATGCACACACGTCTTGACTCATTCCAGTAAGAGTTTAAATCTAACCCTGGAAGTTCCACATTCTTTCCTTCTGTTTCCTTTTGCTGATATTCATATCATGTTTCACATAGCCAAAGTACTAGGTGAAGGTTACCATCATGGGATTCACAGATCTCTAAATTTTTCAAATTTACAACTTCATGGGTTTTTAGGACAACTTTGCTGCTGTTCGCTGCCCCAAGAGTGGAAAGTGCCAACAAGCACTGTCCGTGACTTTCTTCAGGTCATTGGACAACCATATGCCAAAAGAAGGTTTACACAGATGTCTGTTGAGGGGTGAAAGGGCGCCCATCAATTAAAACAAGAGGATGCACTTATACTGAACCTCTAATTGTCCCGGACCCATCCATCAAAGGAGATCCTTTAGGTCTGCCTCTTGTCAGGAACTGAATCTGCCATCTATAGCTTATTACCCCTGACCTCACTCCAATAGACTTGTGACAGTTTCTCAAAGTGTGTTGAACCATGATGCCTCCCTGCATCAATCTGAGACATGTCTGCACACCATTGGCATTACTGTGCTGTGAGTTGGAAGGAAAGGTTGGCCCTCTGCCCCTGGATGTTCTCTTCACAATGCATGAACCGCCCTCTGGTGTGCCTCTGATACCTTGTGCTGAAGCATAAGTAGAGTAAGCCTACCTTAACCTGGTGCCTGGGATCTGAGCATGGGAAGTATGACATGAAGACAACTTGACAAGATTGCACAATTTAAATCATGTAAAGGCAGAAGGGGTATCTTATCTATGACCAGAAACCTGTGAGCTCCTGACCTCAGGGTTTTGTAAATGTAAATAATTTTTGTAATTGTAAATAGCAATTAGAAGGAGGAGGAAATTAATATTAAAATTATCCTTGGAGCTGTGGGAGGAACTTCAGCATGTTGACTGACCCGGACCTGAACAATGTAATGGGGTTTAAGCCAGAGAGTAGAACTCTGAGATCAGGCTGAAGTAAAGCCAGCCATTTGCAATATGCAGTCCCTGTCCTTAAGAAGGACTGAATCTGGGCAGACATTCACAGGGCCCAGATGGAGCTGCATAGGTGATCAGCAGCAGTGGTAAACGTGATATAAATGTCAGCAGAAGGAAAAATTGTGCGACCTCAGTTCATGGAGATCTACCAGGATTTATAATCCCAGTTCTGATGTGTCCTATTCCCAATGCCACCAAGTAGCTTATAAATATATCTACAACCATTAGTGTACATTCAATAATGACTAATTTGAAGTGTGATATGTGTAAAGAGGCAAGATATAAAGGAGTGAAGAGGTTAGCAGGCTGCTCCAGTTGATAACAGGCTACATGTGGAGGATGGGCTGAAGGCTGGTGCTCCTGCGAAAAGAGGATGCATGGCAGACAGGCTTGAATGGAGCCATCATAGATCTGGTAAATTCAGCCTCATAACTTCTCATCTTAGAGTCCACAACAAATTTCCAAACAGTGCATGTGTTTAGAGTAGGAAAAGCTGACAATCGATGTTGTAAGTAATGAATAATTTCTGATTGTATTTGAATTAGAGTCAGACAAAAATTTACCTTCCACACCAGAAGTTTGTTCTGCCCTATTGAAGTGATGCTCAAATCACAGTTGTTTGAGAGTTCAAATATCATTTATACCTGAGACTAATGCTCATTGCTTACTCTGTTTTTGTTAATTCCATTGGTGTGTTGCCAATGCCAGAAAATTGGATCCTTGTAGTAATGATTTAAGTTTTCACGGTTTACATTTACAGAGTTTGTGAAGTAAGATCTCATGATTGAGCAATGGTAGACCTCTGAGATGTGTGTGAGCATAACATGAAGGGATGTGTACTAGCAGCTTCATAGATACTCCTTCACTTTTCCAGTTCTGCCTTCAGAGTCAACTGTTCCAAAGATGAACATGAACATTGATTCTGCACAGGCTAGGTGTGTGAGGGTACTTTATTTTTAAAGCTATTGTGGCTGATCTTTTGTGATGGTAAAATAGTTATGTTTTTCATATTGACAGGTACACCTATTGAGAAATGCTGGCGATGAAGTGACTCTCACTGTTGAGTATCTCAGGGAAGCACCGGCATTCCTGAAGCTCCCACTAGGTAAAAGGGGGTCTTGGGGTGCTGTGGAATTCCTTCTTGACAAGTTGTTTACCAGATGATACCACGCTGACCCAGTGTAAATTATTCCCCAAGTGTATTGCAGAGAGAGGGACACTAGATAGACTTCTTAATAATACTTGTTCTAAAGCTGTCAGTGCCCAAGAATACAACAACAACTTTTCATAAGAATGCGTCATCAGTCTGCATTTTGTTCATACACTATGTACTTATTTTAACAAAGATTCTGTTTACTTATCATACTCGCATGCTCATGTGAGTATTACATGAGTTCTGTTTGTATTTAAAATATCTATGGTGTCTTGAGAAATTTTTTATGCATAAAAGAAAATAACAGTAAATCTATCGTACCAAGTGCCTATTACGTGATCTTTGGAACCTCAATCGTACTTAACGTGTGAACTAGCATGAAAATGGTAAATCACAAATCTACAAAAAATAGTTTCATAAAAGTAGTCAGAATGATGTTTACTTCCCCTGTTCAGTTTTTGTGTTTTTATAAAGTTGTCATCACTTCTCTGATTTAGCAGCATGCAGTGAGGGCCTCTCTGTTGGGTGTTATTCTTTGCAAACAGTGTCCCCAGGTGCCGAGTTTTCAATGGTGACTCAAACCATCAAAGACTTGGACTCCTCACCTTAGTGGATGGAGCAGTGGAGACTCTATTAACCTCATTCTTTTTTTCCTTCCTGTCTTCATTGTTTTGCGTATGAGAAGAAAAAAGTTCATTTCTTGTGATAACCTTAATTTCCCTGTGTTTTCTTCCTTTCTTCTAATTTTCTTCCCTTCCCAAGCTGTCACTCCCTTTCTTCCCCATTATGACCAGTAAGTTCAGTTCTAGTTCTTCTATATTTGTATTAGAGTCATTATTAGACAAAAGATGTCACTGAACTAGTAGTACTATTCGTACTCTCACCTTCCTAAGCTACTCTGAGTAAATCATTTTATTAACTTCAATTAACTCCCTCTCTCCTCCTAATAGAACGTATTGGAGAACTATGTCATTTACTATTCTTGGAAAAAATGTATTCTTTCTTTTGCTGTAAAAAATATACCCATCTGGGCTGGAGCAGTAGTATAGTGGGTAGGGCATCAGACTTGTACACAGCTAACCCGCCAATCCCTGTTCAATCCCCAGAATCCCACGTGGTTTCCTGAGCACCTCCAGTAGTAACTGTTGAGTACAGGGGATAGGAGTAATCTCTGAGCATCACCAGTTGTGATCCCCCCAAACAATACAGCTGTCTAAAAGCTACCCATGTATAACTGAGAAAATCAATATATCTGAAGTGGGAGCTGTGATAGGAAAATCCTAGAGGGTCCTAATGTGAAAAGTAAAGGAGCAATGTAGGGTTGTATGTGCAACATGGTAAGTATTTCTCAGAAGTTAGGACACAAATTCTATAAATAAAACTGGTTTATATCCCATCATGTCTCTATTATAGGTTATTGGCATGGAGACAGAGAAAATGATCAGATCTGCCTCCTTGATCTTGGGCGTAGATTTGAGTTTATAAGTTAAGAGACTGAGACTAAGACACGCAAATAGAAAATGGTGATTTGTATAAAACTTACTGGTCAGCTTTAAAGAGATAAAAGTAAATATATAAAAAGAGAAGCTGGAAAAAATTGTCTTTGAGTCAGTCCATAAAGTGAATGTGCTGAATATTCCTTTTAATAAGACCCCTCTTTTCAAAATGTGAGGTAACTGGACTCTTAGTCTTTTGATTCTGCAAAAAGTAAGTTTGGGTTTTTGGTTTTTTTTTTGAAAATGTCATTCATTACTCAGAGTACGAGGTCCATTTATCAACCCAGTAACTCTGGCTCTGGAAAAATAGCGTATGGTGAAAAATGTTCATGTATTTAAACTAGTTTGGAGTGTTTCTTTTATTTTGGACTTAAGGATGAGGCAGTCTGAGCACCTACATGTTTTATAGCAGATTTCACCTACAGGATTTAATGAAACTTGACAGTAATCTATGGTAGTTCATAAGTTCTTTTCAGAAAGCTATAAAATTCACCCCCCGAAAAAAATATCAGAAGAATGAGTAGATAAATAATGAGGAAAAAATAACACATTTGACTTATGCCTCCTAAAGATAACTTCATATTCTTTTCATCTTCTGTTCATGGCCAATTACTCCAAGCCCTTAGAGATCACTGAGTGAAACCAGTAATTCAAACTGTTAGAGCAGTTTGAATGGAGGGGGTGGGGTGAGAGAAGCAAGCTAGTGTGAAAGCTTCCACTGCATTCCAACTGCTGGAATGACTTTTAAATGTGCATCTTAAACTGAAGATATAAATTTTTTAGCTCTGGAGGATGGAAATTCAAGGTCAGGGTTCTGACAAGTTCTGAGTCTGGTGAGAATGCTCTTTCTATTTAGCAGAGGGCCATTTTATTCCTAGGTCCTAGTGTGGCAGAAAGGCAGCGAGCTCAAAGGGCCTTACACCTATCCATGTAGGTTTTCCACTCATCAGCTACCACAGGTTCCACATCCAAACCCATGAACTTTCAGCATATGAAGTTTGCAAAGACACATTCGGTTCTTCCTGGAGGTCAAGGAAAGGTTTTGTGATTTAGTAACATAGAAGGAGGGGCCAAACTAATAAAATGTAAATAGAGGAGGTGCTATACATACCTTATGGACATCTTTACACATCTTTCACTTCAAAGAAAGTTAGAGAATATATATTTCTCTCTTTTCTTTTAAATATTAGCATTTCTTTAAAAAATGACAATGAAGACTTCCTCCTATAAATTGATCAGTGGTCTCCTAAGTCTTTGGTTTGACATGTGAGCATAGATTTACCTGGAGCTTCACAGGAGTTCTTTCCAGAAGGCATTGAAAGTCCATTGCTCTCACACCTCTGGTATTACATGCATGGAAGTTTTGGGATACAAAGCATACTGCTGGGTGATTGGTTTGTCTAATGCTCTGTACGTCTACCACCTGCACATGTTGTGAATATCTGTGTGCATAGATTAAAAAAACAACACACATTTCATAATATCCAAGGGAAGGCATATGAGGTGAAAGCAAGAACCCATACGTTGCACTGAGGACATTTACATAAGGGATTTTCTCATTTCTCTTATGAGCAAGGTGACTTTCATGGTCCTGTCCTCCTGTTGTTCATCGATTAGCTCGAGCGGGCAGGCCCAGTAACATTGTGAGACTTGTTACTGTGTTTGCTATGTTGAATATGTCAAGGGTAGCTTGCCAGACTTTGCCGTGCGGGCAAGATACTCTTGGTAGGGAGAAAAATAATTTTGCAACAGTTTTACTGATATTAAAGCAATGCAATCAAAAGAGTAGCCACAGCAGCATTTAAAAACCAATATCATAGGGAGAAGTACTACATTTACAATTTTCAGTGTAAATCTTAATTTACTCAGAGCTACTACAGAGCAAGTCTGAAGTCTCGCTCTTGGAATTTTGGTGCCACAGCCCATTGTACTAGATATTTGATGATGATGATGATCATGATGATGATGATGATGATGATAATGATGATGCACCCAAACTCTTTGTGTTGCCAATCATCTTGTTAGACTACATGACTATTTTACTGATATTATCTGCAGGATTCACCTTATTTCTGCTAGACCCATATCATTAAAGTCAGCAAAGAAGTGGGATAGAATGTTCTTAAAGTGCACATATGCCAGAGGATGGAAGAATCAACAAAAACCTATCACCTCCTCCTTTCATTTGCTTCCTTATAAGAGATAAAATTTTTAAAAAAAGAGATAAAATTTTTGTACTCATAAAAGTTTAAACACCATAACCATGATTTCTACAAACTGAGTTTAAACATCTTCTGATGAATTCACATGAAAAAGATAAACTTGCTTTTGCTTGGGTAGAACTCATAGGCAATTATTGCATGATCCAGTGTACTGCCTGCCTGACATCCATCAGAGTGGGGGAAAATCTCAGTTTATACATGAGAATAAGATCCAGGGAAAGCAATTTTGTAGATTCACAAGTATAGAAAAATAGTTAAGTAGCATGAAAACAAGATCAGGGCCGTGGGGAGTGGGGTAGGGAACCAACAAATTCCATCATAAATTCCCAAAGACAAGATTCAGTTTTAACATTAAAATATTTTTGGACCACAGCCAGTGGTTCTCAGGATGAATTCCTGGCTCTGTGCTCATGGATCATTCCTGACTATGCTCAGGGGACCATATGGGGTGGCAGGATTGAATGTGGCTTGCAGGGTAAATGCCGTACCTGCTGTACTATCACTCTGGCCCCTAAATTAAAATTTTCAAAGAGAAAATGAGTGACTTGAGATTTAGTCAATACTGTCCTAGTTTTTAGTATACTTTCAGAAACTTCATGCCTTTTAGTAGTCTCTTTCCCTTACTCCCTGGGGATAACAAAATTGGATCTCCAATTCTTGTCTTTGTGAATATTGCATATAAATGGAACCATATAGTGTGTGCTTTTCTGTGACCCATTCTTCCAACTGGCATAGTGTCTCAAAGCTAATCCACATTGTATCATGAGTCAGGGCATTGTTGCTACCTTTAACTGAATGCAGTTTCATTTTATGTGGATACCATATTTTGTTAACCTCTTCATCAGTCAGTAGGCCTGTGTTTTCTTTCCAGTTCAGTTATGAATAATGGAGATATAAATATTATTTTTCACATTTTTGTATGGTTTTTTTTGTTTTCTTGGTATATGCTTAGAAGTGGAATTGCCATATTGGATTATTACTCTACATTTAGCTTTTGAGAACTGGTAAGACCACTCCAAGCCTCTGTTTTGTTTGATGAATGACATCTGTAATCAAATTTCATTTGATTTCATTTCATGAATGACATTTGTAACCAGGCATTCATGAGGTATTCAAGGTAGTTCTCATGGATTATAGGTCACTTTCTAGCTTTGTTGTTTTTATTGTTATTGATTATAAACTATTCCTGTTATTTGCTTTATAGTATTGTTGGATTGTTGACACCATCCATTTTTATCATATGACGTTTTTTAAGTAATGGGTTTTATTGGTGATAAATATATTTTAACTTTTAAATTTTTTCTTTGGTGTACAGACAAACAATACTCATTAGTCAGAAATAAACAGAAGCTCAAAGTCTGCAAATGACAGATTATCATATTCACTTCCATTTGTTTATCCTTCAGCTTTTATTTGATACCATTACTCAATCATCACCTTTAGTTTATGTTGCCCTTAGGAGTTTAGAAGAGTGAAGAAAATGAGAAGGATTCTATATCACTGACGAACTAGAAATAAAAATATAAGTGAAGTCAATGGGAAAAGCCTCAGAGGGAAAAAATGTAGTAAATAGATCATTGAAATACTGAAAGGACAGACTCAGGCTGGTCCCAGAGCAACCCCCTGCAGTGGGCAACTGTCTAAAGTAGTTTCACAAAGGACTCAAGCACATGTTTTTCATATTGAAGTTTCATTCCCCAACATCACATGGTTCCACTAGCACCATTGGAAGTAACACTTGTGCCAAGAAGTCACCCCCAAGTACCACCAAGTAATGCAACAAACCAAAAATTAAAATAACAAATTGTATTTTCACAAACTAGTCAGTGTGATAATTTTGGGTCCATAGTTCAAACAAAGACCACATCCTTGTCTTCCTGACCCTGTTCCCTGACAGAACTATACAAATATATATATAGGTATATATATGTATGCAGAATATATATATATATATTTATATATATATATATGCAGAGCGATAGCACAGTGGTAGGGCGTTTGCCTTGCATGCAGCCAACCTGGCTGAGCCTGGTTCGATTTCTCTGCCCCTCTCAGAGAGCCCACCAAGCTACCGCGAGTATCTCGCCTGCACAGCAAAACCTGGCAAGCTACCCGTGGCGTATTTGATATGCCAAACACAGTAACAACAAGTCTCACAATGGAGATGTTACTGGGCCCGCTCAAGCAAATTGATGAACAGCAGGAGGACAGTCCTACAGTGCTACATATAAATTTGTGTATACACGTAAGGTAAAAGGTAAAGGTAAAGGCCCTCCCGTTGATCGTCGATTTGCTCGAGCGGGCCCAGTAACGTCTCCATTGGAGACTTTGTTGTTACTGTGTCTGGCATATCGAATACTCTCGGTAGCTTGCCGGGCTCTCCGAGAGGGGCGGAGGAATCGAACTCGGGTCGGCCATGTTGGCCGCTTGTAAGGTGAACGCCCTACCCGCTGTGCTATCGGAGGGAGTATACACGTATGTATGTATACACGTATACATAAATTTATATGTGTGTATATAATATACTGGGTTCCATGGAACTTCATTTATGCGTGAGTCTGGGCCTGAGCATCTCACAGAACCCAGATAATGTAGAACTTTGTGACCTTGGACTCTGGACTCAACAGGACCCAGAACAAAGATCCTCTGCCTGCTTCCCCCAGTCTCTGGTGACTCAGGGATCACATCCATAAGCCACACTCTGCCAGCATCAGATAATATCCGCATCAGTCACTCTCCAGAGCTCCCAGATGCTCCTCCCAGATGGGAGTATAAAAGGAGGCCCCCAGAACCATGCCACCGGACTCCGCACCAGGCTGTGGGGTGGGTGAGAGCCTTCCCCACCTCAAGGGACCCAGTTCCAGCAGCCAACCTCCACTGCCCAACCACTGCCATGCTCCAGGCCACTTTCCAGACACATTATAAGACACTTCCTACCCATTTATGTCTCTCAGAGAGCCCAGCAAGCTACAGAGATTATCCTGCCCGCATAGGCAGAGCCTGGCAAGCTCCCTGTGGTGTATTTGATATGCCAATCATAGTAACAACAATAGGACAATAGGTCTCATTCCCCTGAACCTGAAAGAGTTTCCAATCCTTGGGAAAAGATGAGTAAGAAGAGGCTGCTAAATTCTTAGGGCTGGGAGGAATAAAGATATTACTGGTGCCCGCTCAAGCACATCGAAGATCAACAGGGTGACAGTGATACAGTGATACAGTATATATATTATACACACACACATGCACACACACATATGTCCACAAGTTAGTCTGATTTACCTTGATACTTTCTGTGAAACTAATTATCTAATTTACAGTGCAGATGTCAAAAGATAGTTTAAAAAATAATTTGAAATTTAAAATCAGAAGGTTAAAGCTAATGTTTAGAAAGTTGGCTAACATTACCCTAATGTGAGAGACCAGTGTGGGCAAGTAGGATCTGCAGTCTCCTTGAGTCCTTCACTGGGCACTGCCAGTCCTTCTTCATGTTGTCTGCCTGCTGCCATCAGATGGGCACACTGCCCAGAGATACCAGCTCTGCTAGCACACCTGGGAATGGGCACCCTTTCCCAAGAACCATTGTATTGTCCTCAGTGACTTCCTGTAAAATCAGAAACACCTCTCATGCAGCACATCTTCAGCTCCTGTAGGAACCAATGTCTCCATTTTGTTTTCAGGGTCCCCTGGACCATCCAGTGACCACAGCAGTGGGGCCTCCTCCCCTCTCTTTGACAGTGGCTTGCATTTGAATGGAAACTCCAGTAACACAGTAAGTGCCTTCTCATTTCATTTATACTTAGTGAATGGCAGGTCACCACTGCCCCCCTGATTAGGATCAAGGCTCTTTACTACCCATCTTCATAAGTAGGAACTTCCAGAAGGAAGACCCGAGCCTGGACATCAGGCTGCAGTTCTGTGAACACTGATTCCTGCATGAGGAATTTGGCCTTGCAGTTAGGGTAAGTTCCTCATTCATAATGTTCCAGCGAGCACGAAGGTTTGCTTAATCTTGATAGGGAAGTCAAAGTTCTACCTTTGATGTTCCAGAAAACTCTAGTGAGAGAAACTACTAAAAGAATTGCTAAAAACTTCTACCAATCTCTCATGATCTAGATATTGCAAGAGACATATTCCAATATTAATAGAAAGAACCTAGTAAACTTGGTGCTATATATTTGCAGTGACATTTTGTCATGTTCCAAATCTTTCACTCCCCAAAGAACCTGACAAGCCAAAGGAGAGACTGTCACCCACTTAGCTCAGGGCTGCAGTACCCCTGCCCTCTTTTACCCTGGTAGCTGAACCCTAATCCCTAAGCGTGGAGTATCTGCATTCACTATTCAATGAGCTTAGAATATGTAAGAAGTAGAATCCTGCAAGCAGTTTAAAAATTATGTTTTTAATTGGAAATCATATCTACAGTATTAAAATGACCCCTTCCTGACTAGCAGGTAGGTTCTAGAGAAAAATGTTTAATGTCTGTACAATACATTGTAAAAATGTCATATTGTTTCATATTTAACCTTGCCATTGAGAAATTGCATTTGGTGTCTGTGAGCAATGAAGCAAAATATAAAATAAGTTTCTCTGAATCCATAACTAATATTCCAATTAAAACATAGTTACCAGCATTTTATCCATTGATGGGCTGTTTCTATACCACATTTTCTGGCCTTCCCAGAAATAAATAGCATCCTGAATCTTGTGTTTCTCTACCCTAGGATAAAAAACTTCATCCGAATGTGTATGTCACTAAAAATAGACTATTTTAATTTATTTTGAGCCTTGTAAAGTAAATTATTATTCTGTCACAGCTTTCTGGGCATTATATTTGTACATATGAGTATTGATAAATATTCACCAATATTGTATATTATTTAAATACTGTTATTTTTAAAATACTATTTGGTATTCAGTTGTGTGAAATTTTAATCATCCATTGGCATTTTGATATTTGGCTTTTGTTCTGGGTTGTTAGTTGTTATTGTTTTCTTATTTGTTACCATAAAATCAGGAATGTGTGAATATATTATCAGTATCTTTTTGCTCTAAAACTCAGAAGTGAAATTTTTGGGTATTTGGTGAGGCTGGTGTTGGAGTTTCTGAATACTTAGCACACTTCACATTCAACATCCTTCACATTAAACATCCGGCTATTACTCACGCCCTTTTTGTTGGTGTTGATAAGACTGAACATTTGAAGTGCATGATGGCTTCTTCTTGAAGTTTCATTTCTGATTCTATGATGACAAAGGAGATAAATGAATTTGTTTTCTTCTGTTTTCCTGTTTTTGTCCTCTCCGGGAAATGCCATGCTTTGCTTCTGCCCATTTGCATTTAGGTTGTGACTTTCTTGCCAAGCAATGCAATTCCTCAAATATGTTGAGGTTCTTACTAGTTGTTATGAGTCATACATCTTTTCACTACTTAAAGCTTAAGTTTTGTTTTATTTACAAAGTCCTATGATAGTAGAAGTTCATTGTAGACAAATATATATATTCCTATGTGGTTCTTCCTATTTCTTCCTAAGATTTTAAGATTGGATTGTTCTAGAAATCCTTTCCACATAAAAGATACTTACTTATATTATCTTTTTTTTCCTTAAATTTTTATTAGTGAAGCACCATGAGGTACAGTTGTAGACTAACAAATTTTTGTGCTTGGGTTTCAGTTATACAATGATCGAATACTCATCCCTCCACCAGTGCCCATTCTCCACCACCACTGATCCCAGTATCCCTCCCAACCCCCCATCCCCCCCATCCCACCCTACCTCTGTGGCAGGGCATTCCCTTTTGTTATCTCTCTCCTTTTAAGTGCTGTGGTTTGCAAAAGAGACATTGAGTAGCAATCATGTTCAATCTATAGTCTACTCTCACACATCTCCCATCCTGAGAGGAACCTCCCAACACCTTTTATTTAGTGCTCCTTTCTCTATCTGAGCTGCCTTTTCCCCTAGCATGTGTGGCTGGCCTCAAAGCCATGTACTAATCCTCCTGGTACTTATCTCGGCTATTCTTGGGTGTTAGTCTCCTAATTTGTTACTTTATGTTCCCCAGATGAATGCAGTCTTTCTATGTCTGTCCTCTCTTTCCGACTCATTTCGATTAGCATGATACTTTCCATGTAGTACCACTTGTATATGAATTTCATGACTTCATCTTTTCTAACAGCTGCATAATACTCCATTGTGTAGATGTACTAAAGTTTCTTTAACCAGTCATCTGTTCTCAGGCATTCAGGTTTTTTCCAGATTCTAGCTATTGTAAACAGTGCTGCAATGAACAAACAAGTACAGATGTCACTTCAGTTATACTTTTTTGCCTCTCCAGTATATATTCCCAGGAGTGGTATTGCTGGGTTAAATTTCTAATTTTTGGAGGATCATTCATAGTGTTTTCCAAAAGGGCTGAACCAGTTGGCATTCCCACCAGTAGTGAAGGAGAGTCCCTTTCTCGCCACATCCACACCAACACTAGTTGCTTTTGTTCTTGTGGATGTGGGCCAGTCTCTGTGGTGTGAAATGATATCTCATTGTTGTTTTTATCTGCATCTCCCTGATGATTAATGATGTAGAGCATTTTCTCATGTGCCTTTTAGCCATTCAGATTTTTTCTTTGGGAAAATTTCTGTTCATTTATTCGTCCCATTTTTTGATGGGGTTGGATGTTTTCTAATTGTGGAGTTCAACCAGTACCTTCCTTATATTATCTTTAAGGTATAAAAAACAAACAAACAAACAAACAAACTTCCCATTTTTCATCGATTTGCTTGAGCGGGCCCAGTAACATCTCCATTGTGAGACTTTTTGTTACTTTGTTTGGCATATCACATACGTCACGGGTAGCTTGCCAGGCTTTGCCGTGAGGGCGAGATACTCTCTGCAGCTTGCCAGGCTTCTCCGAGATGGCGGGGGGAGGGGGGGGGCATCGAACCTGGGCCGACCGGGTTGGCCGCATGCAAGGCAAATGCCCTACAGCTGTGCTATTGCTCCAGTCCTATCTTAAAAGTATATTATGATTTACTTTTTACTTTGTTTCAAATGTGGAAGGTAAAGGTCCGGATTTATTTTCATGGATAAAATAAGTTATCTTTATGTCTCAACCTATTTTCTTATGATCCACACTTCTACTTTTGTCATATAACTTGCTTCCTGAGCAAGTAAGTTTATTCATGAAACCTTACTATGTTATCTGCCAATATAGCACTGGTATCACATTAACTTAACTACCGTATCTTTACAATGTTGTTTTTGGTTATTTATAAGAAAAGTAATTCATTGCTCTATAATTCACTACAATTTTCCTCTTTGTTTTTTTTCTTGTGAATTTTAAAATGCTTGCATGATCAAAGTTCACAAAAAATTAAATTGGATTTTGATTGCAATTATATGAAATTTACATCAGTAGGGAATTTGTCTAATGTGCGAAAATACATAGTGTATATTTAAGTCTTTAAATATCTTTTCTATAGTTTTTCATGCTGGAGCGATAGCACAGCAGGTAGGGTGTTTGCCTTGCAAGTGGCCAACATGGCCGACTCGAATTCGATTTCTCCACCCCTCTCAGAGAGCCCGGCAAGCTACTGAAAGTATTTTGCCCCCAGGGCCAAGCCTGGCAAGCTGCCTTTGATGTATTCGATATGCCAAACACAGTAATAATTGTCACTATGGAGACATTACTGGGCCTACTCGAGCAAATCGATGAACAATGGGAGGACAGTGACAGTGACAGTATTTTTTCAGCAGAACATTGTACATTTTACTCATATTTTCAAAAAAAAACTAACCTCTGGTGCCATAAATATTTATGCTACCATTATTTTCTTCTCGATTTGCTCGAGCGGGCCCAGTAACGTCTCCATTGGAGACTTTGTTGTTACCGTGTCTGGCATATCGAATACTCTCGGTAGCTTGCCGGGCTCTCGGAGAGGGGCGGAGGAATCGAACTCGGGTCGGCCATGTTGGCCGCGTGCAAGGCAAATGCCCTACCCGCTGAGCGATAGCACAGCGGTAGGGTGTTCGCCTTACAAGCGGCCAACATGGCCGACCCGAGTTCGATTCCTCCGCCCCTCTCGGAGAGCCCGGCAAGCTACCGAGAGTATTCGATATGCCAGACACGGTAACAACAAAGTCTCCAATGGAGACGTTACTGGGCCCGCTCGAGCAAATCGACGATCAACGGGAGGGCCTTTACCTTTTACTTTTTATTTTCTTCTCATTTTTGTGTTCTTTTAATTTTGCATTTCATGTTTTTTTGTCAACTTTTTTAATTTAGCATGATAATCATACACTTTCATTTGAGTTTATGATACTACTGGTATATATTAACCTCTTTCTCACCATTGACTTTAAACTCTTGTCCTCTTTTAGTACTCCTTTCCTGATTTTCAGATTCTTTTATTTTTTTATCTATTTAAAATTAGTTACTACAAGTTTGAAATTCACATATTTTATTTTCTGTTTTTACTTAGTTTCTCATTTCTATTTAGAGGTTGCCCGTGAACTTAACTGGACATTCTTTGTCTATCAGATAAAGAATAATGAAAGAATCTTCTAAAACATGTTCCCAGAATACCTGCTTCTGAATTGCTTGCTGTTACTTTTACATATTTTGAAGAATTTCAAACCTACATAAGCCATGCATTTAGGATTGCTCTCCAGAAGGTCTGCATTAGCTGCTTAAGTCTGTTGGTGGCAACCTGAATTTCAGCTTATGTTAAATCTAGTTATTTTTCTCTAATCTGTAAATATGGTTTTTCAGTCCATGG